CAATTGTCACTGCTCTGGCTGATAAAGCCAAGACACAGCATTTCCCACTGCTCTGCCCAGAACAGGGATCCCACGGCTTGGCAGTCCCAGTCCAGAGCTCCCAACACACCTGTGAGATCAACAGTGCCACAAGCCAAGGTGCAAGCAGAGCTGCGCAGAAGCACACGAAAGCCTCCCCGAAACAAGGGTTTCATATCCCCTCACCTTTGTGCGGGGAACAATGTTGAGTTCCAGTTTCTGGTCCACCAGGCTGGCACCCGCCTCCGACAGGTAACCCTGGTTGAGGACGAGGCAATCTCTCCCAAAGCAGCATGGGCAGCACAGCTTCTGCAGCCACTTGGTCCACTTGGGGTTCAGCTGCCCATAGGGCTCCTCGTTCTTGGGCTTGAAGACACCAATGATTTTCTGTGGGGAGGAGAGAGGAGAGCTGACTCAAGGCAGATGGCAGAGTCAGGACATTCCCCCCGAGCCAGCCCACAGTGGGGACACTCAGGTTGTGCCTTCACCAGGGCAATGACCAGCTCCTGGCACCAGGCAGACTCCCACAGCTCCAAATGAGGGACCCTTCCTCAGGCAGTGCCCCATCCGATGAGAGCAGGGTGCTGCCCAAAGACCTTCATACCCGGCTCACGTATCTGGAAAAGCCCTCCTTTGGCCCAAAAGATACCAGTGATAACGCTGTTCCCTGGTAAACATCCCAGTGACCTTTGGATGGCTGGAGAGACCTACTGCTCACTCCTCCTCATTAAGTCCATGCAGGAGAAGGAGTGGGATATTGATCCCTACTCTGGCTCCAAAATCCACTGAACAGAGCTGATCCCAACCCGACTGGAGGAACACCTCAGCAAGCAACCCCACTGCAATCCCAGTGTACCAAGCACCAAAAGCCAGGCCACGGCAGGCAGGAACAACATTTTGTCCACCAGAAAGAGGAAGAGTTTGAAGGAACAGGACCACTTCAGACATCCCCTGATCACATGGAGAAGCCACTTTCCCTGAGCAGGCAGGAAAGCAACCCCCTCATCAGCCACATATGAAGGTACACAACTGTCAACATGTCCTTGGATATGAGCCTGCAAAAAGCTTGTTGTGAGCTTTGGCAGCACTGGAGCCCTGTGTTCCATAGAGCCAAGTCCAGCAGAGCAAGGTCCAGCCAGCCATGGACAGTATAAAGGTGGAGGCCAGAGGCCTGGCAGCACAGCATCCCCTTCAAGACAGTCCTGTGGCAAGAGCAGCACTGGCAAGCAAAACAGGTCTGCCCTGGCACCAGCAGCAAGGCAGAGGGAGCCAGACCAGCCCAGAGGCAACCATATCCACCAGGGCTGGGGAAGTGCATCCTAGCTGGTACAGCTCAGAAGCTGAGAGGAAAGCAGACACAAGAGAGAAGTTCTCACCCCACCAATGGCCTCACCCCTGCCCACAACAACAGGGCACTGCACTCTCTCATGCCAGCAGCAGGGAAGCTTTGGTGACGCTAGGCAGCAGCCACAGAAACCAGCTACACACCACATTCACTGACAGCAGGGCAGCCCAGGGGACCTGCCAGGTGATATGGTCAGGAGGACAGAGACTTCGGTTCCTCACACACCCCCTCCACCAGCCCTCACCAAGGTCACATCTCCTATAGCCAGGCAGCCTCTGCGCTGCTCATCCAGCCCCCACCCCAGAGATGTCACATCTCATATTGGGCAATGGGAAGGAGCAGGAGGAAGTGTGCACTGCCCTGGCTCAGCTGGAGCTGTCTACCACTGCTCCCAGGAGCCAGGCTCCACCCGGGGCAGGAAAACTGGGGCACACCAGAGACCGGGGAGCCCAGTCCTGCTCCCCAGGAAGCATCTCAGCACACATGCATCCAGGGAGTCACAGGAAGCTGCAACAGCTCAAGTAACTGGGTTGGGCGCTGCAGGTCACAAGACAAGCCACCCCGTGCTGCACACACATCCAGTGGGTGGCTTGGGGACGGTTGCCACGTAGCTGCCAAGACCTACAGGGGACCAGCTATAATTTGAGGACGTTGCCTTGATTATAGCAAGGCCCTAGGGCTGGAGTCACCATGGTCATGAGATGCTGATGCACTGGCCTGGGGCAGCGGGTGACCCGCCTTGGGTACAAGAGCCACAGAAGAGGCTGAAGCAGCACTAGAGCCCAGCTGGCCCCCACTCTTGCTGCTGGTCCTAATATGCTTCTCCCCCGGGCAGCTCCAGCCGGTCCTAGGAGCCCGGCACCCACATCTCCCTGGGAGCGCCCCTCTCCTCAGCCCGCTGGCCTCGGGGGCCGGCTCACCCCCTGCGGGTCCTTGACGAAGTAGCTGCCACTGGAGCCCTGCGAGATGCGCTCGGGGAAGATGCCGCGCTCGCTGGCCAGCTCGGCTCGCCGCACCACCTCTGCGAACTCGGGGTCCTCGGGGAAATCATTGCGCTCCCGCTGCGCCGCCGCCGCCGCCTGCGCCTGAGCCTGCGCTGCCGCTTGGGCCTGCGCCTGGGCCTGCGCCGCCGCCGGGCCCCGCGCCCCTCGCTCCAGCAGCGGCTGCCGCTCGCGGTCGCGGCCTCCGGGGGACCCGGGAGGGGAAGGCGGCGGAGGGGGAGCGGCGGGCGGGAGAGTGCGCACGGCCGCCCCCGGCAGCCCGTAGTCGGGGGCCTGAGCCCGCTCCGGAGACACCAGCGGGCTCGTCTCGTCCATCGCGCCCGCCCGGCACGGCCTCGCCGCGACACCCGCGCCTGCCGCTTCCGCTTGCGTCACCGCGCCCCAGGGGCTGCTCCGCCCCCCCACCACGCCCACACCGGGCGTCACCGGGCGAGCCGCGCCCGTCGCGGGGCCGGCTGCGGCAGCGGTGCCGGATGGGGCGGGCCGGGAGCCTCCCACGCTTGGCTCTTAGGGTCTGTCGGCCTCACGGCCCCACCGCAGGGGGTGGGAGCCCGTACCCCACACAAAGATGGCCGCCCGGAGAGACAACGCCCCCCACTGCCCTTCTCAAAGATGGCGGCAGGGCAGGGTATGCCCCTCTGTTGACACGCCCAGGGAGGAGATCGCTTTGCCCCACACAAAGATGGCGGCCGGCGAGGGAGTGCTGCGAAGATGGCCAATGAGCAGCCGCGTTGCTAGCGGTTGCCGTGGAGACAGCCAACGGCGGGCGGGGATGGACGCTGGTGGCGTGGCACCGTCCTGCGGGGCGGGTAGCTGGCAGGGGAGGTGGCCGTGCCACCGCCCCTCGGCGGGACCCCGGTGGGCAGCGGTGCGGGCGGCGAGCGCGTAGCCAGGTGAGCGCGGGTCCCTGCGCGACAGGCCCGTCCGCACCGCCCCTCGGCACCCATCAGGGCACGGCTGTCCCGGTGGGACATGCGTGCACCGCCCGTGGGCGCATGAACAGAGCGGGGTGTGGGTGCATCAGCCCTGGGTGCACGGACACAGCGGGGTGTGGGTGCATCAGCCCTGGGTGCACGGACACAGCGGGGTGTGGGTGCATCAGCCCTGGGTGCACGGACACAGCGGGGTGTGGGTGCATCAGTTCTGGGTGCACGGACACAGCGGGGTGTGGGTGCATCAGCCCTGGGTGCACGGACACAGCGGGGTGTGGGTGCATCAGCTCTGGGTGCACGGACACAGCGGGGTGTGGGTGCATCAGTTCTGGGTGCACGGACACAGCGGGGTGTGGGTGCATCAGTTCTGGGTGCACGGACACAGCGGGGTGTGGGTGCATCAGTTCTGGGTGCACGGACACAGCGGGGTGTGGGTGCATCAGCCCTGGGTGCACGGACACAGCGGGGTGTGGGTGCATCAGTTCTGGGTGCACGGACACAATGGGGTGTGGGTGCATCAGCTCTGGGTGCACGGACAGAGCGGGGTGTGGGTGCATCAGCTGTGGGTGCATGAACACAGGGGGTGTGGGTGCATCAGCCCTGGGTGGCAGCGTGGGCACATGCAGCTGGGCAGCCTGGGTTGCCCAGGGGGGCAGATGCTGCCCATGCCCTGGATGAAGTCGGCGGTCCAGGCACAGGGTGGGGGGAGCCCTCCCCTGTCGCAGACATTAACAGCCCCCAGCAGCCCCCTCTCCCGCTCCTGTCGCTGTTGGAGGCAGCCCGGAGGCGCTGGGCAGGCTGCAGGCGGGGGAGCTGGCGCTGAGCTCCTGGTCCCTGCCATCAGCAGGGAGCACTGTTCAGTCGCTGCTCGCCTTGGCTGGGGGCCATTTCTGCTCCGGACACAAAGCCCTTGTGAGCTCCCTGCTGTGCTCCCGGGTGCCGTGTCCAGCTGGTTAGCGTGGCTCACCACCCATCGCCAGAGACGTGCAGCCCCGTGTGAGCCTTTGGAAGTGGGGAGCCCCTTCCCATCACAGGAGACGCTGGAGAAGCAGCTCCCAGCCCACCTGCGGGGCTGCCTCCTTGCTGGTGCGTTCATTCCCTGTGCACTGGGCAGAGCTGTGCTGTGTGACAGCAGCACGGGGGATGTGCGGACCTCCGGGGGCTGCTTGCTGCCAGCAGGGATGTTTGCAACCCCTGTGGTAGCCAAGCAAGCCCCTGGAACCTCCGAGTCCTCTCTCTGCCGTCCCTTGGAGGAGGAGGAGCTGCTCCATCCCAGGGGAGAGCCAGATCCGGATTTAAGCTGCAAGAGAGTAGATTTGGGTTAGGTGTTAGGAAAAATTCTTTACTGTGAGGGTGCTGAGGCACTGGCACAGGGTGCCCAGAGGAGCTGTGGATTCCCCAACCGTGGCAGTGTTCAAGGCCAAGTTGGATGAAGCCTTGAGCAACCTGGTCTGGTGGAAGGCGTCCCTGCCCATGGCAGGGGGTTGGAACTGGATGATCTTTAAGGTCCCTTCCAACCCAAACCATTCCATGATCTGCCTGTCTTTGACGCTAGAACTGGAAACTCCACAAGCTCTCTGCTCTCTCCCTTGAAGAGCCAGTCCCAAGCATAATCTGACAAGCACCAAAATGCCTGTTTGTCCCTGGGACTGTCCCAGCAGAGCTGAGAGCAGCCGCTGGCCTTAGCCTGCTGCAGTGCTGTGCTGGATGCATCCAACTCCTGCCACGCTGCTCTGCTGCCACTCGCTCACATTTCACTGGGCTGTGACCCCCGTGGGTTCACATCGCCCTGAGCCCTGCCGTGGGGCAGACAGCAACCCGAACCCGGCGGCTGGGGTTTCAGAGGCAGCGCAGGGTGGCTGTGTCCTGGGGTCACCTCCTCATCTGTGGTCTGCCCCGCGGCACAAACGTGCCTCTCTGTGAGCCGAGGGGATGCAGGGGGTCTGCGTAAACCGGCCTCCTCCCCCTGCCCAGCAGCCACCCTCTGCACCTCTCCCTGCCAGCTCTTGCCGTGCGCTGCCAGAGGCCGTCACCATGACCCTCACCAAAGGCTCCTTCACCTACTCCAACGGGGAGGAGTACCGCGGCGAGTGGAAGGAAGGTGAGACAGGGCAGCAGGGGATGGTGCTGCCTGGGCTGGGGGCCAAGCAGCCCCTGTGTCCTTGCCCAGCACCACGCTGGGGCAGGTCCTGCTCCCATCCATCCTGCACTGCCCATTTCTACCCTTGCCCCAGGTCGCAGGCACGGTGTTGGGCAGCTGACGTTTGCCGATGGCACCGCTTACGTGGGGCACTTTGAGAACGGGCTGTTCCACGGCTGCGGCGTGCTCACCTTCTCTGACGGCTCCAGGTGAGGATGGCACCCCTGCGTACACCCCTGGGGGCACCCGCCCTTGCCACGGGGAGCTGCTGCCTCAGGGGCAACTCTCACACAGGTACGAGGGGGAGTTTGTGCAGGGCAAGTTCAACGGCGTCGGCGTCTTCACCCGCTGCGACAACATGACTTTTGAGGGAGAGTTCAAAGGCGGGCGGGTGTATGGCTTCGGTGAGTGCCCAGCTCAGCATGGCCCCTTCCAGCATCTCCCATTCTGTCCCTCTGGCCCCAGTGGGTGCTCTCTGCCCCTTCATTCCCAGCCCTTCCTTCCCCTCCCCAGGTCTCCTGACCTTCCCCGATGGCTCCCACGGGGTGCCCCGCAATGAGGGTTTCTTTGAGAACAACAAGCTGCTGCGGAGGGAGAAGTGCCCGGCTGTCATCCAGAGGGCCCAGGGTGCCTCCAAGTCTGCCCACAACCTGACAGCGTGATGGTGCCCCACATCCCCTCCCACTGCAGAGGGGCATCCGCTGGCCCTGCTGTCCCCAGAGCAGGGATGTGGCACTGCCGGGTGCCCCCTTGCCCTCTGTCTCTACCAAGCCCCCCTGCCGAACCCCCGTGGCTGGGGGGGAACCCTCCACCCAAGTGCCCCAGGGCAGCCGTGGTGCCTTCTCTCTCTGGCTATAGCCCTGGCACCTGCTGGAGCAGCACGGGGACAGGGTAGCCTGGGCCGGGCTGCTCTGCCCCCAGGAAGACTGTGGAGCACTGGGGCTGCTGGCCTGCTGCAGAGGATGGAGCAGGGGTGGAGGGGCTGAGCCCTGACCCCACTGCCAGGGTGCCTTGGCTGGGAGCTGCTAGCTGGACCACGTGCTCAGAGAGAGGCAGCTCCTGGTCCACTTCACTACCCTGGTTTTGAGGCAGGGTGGGCACCATGTGGCCTGTGCCCATTCTAGGTGACTGGCCATCCTCCACTTGCCTGGGCAGGGTGATGTGGTGCCCCGAAAGGACCCAGCTGCTCTTGGGGCCAGGCGATGGGCTGTCCCCCGTTCATCCCTGTGCCTTGGGGACATCTGCAGCAGTATCCCCAAGGAGGAGGATCAGGGAACACCCAGCCTGGCCATGTCTGCTGCACACTGGGGGAGGGCTGGAGGCAGGGTCCAACAGAGCCTGGGATGAGGGGCATGAGCAGGGGGCCTGGGCAGCGCAGGTGGGGATAGGGGCATGGCAAAGGGGCAGGCAGGGTGGGCAGGGAGCGCACAGCTCCCCATCTTGCTGCCTGCATGCATCCTCCATCTCCCCCTGCATGCTCACCCTTGCCCCAGTGTGGTCTGGCCTTGGTGCGGGGGTCCTGGCAGCCCTCGGAGCCTGGTGTTGGGCTGCAGGGGCCCTGCCTTCCCTGCCAGTCTGTGCCCACATTGGTCCCGTGCCTTGCTGTGACCCTGCACAGGCCTCAGCTGAGTAAACCACATTGCCAAACGCGAAGGCTGTGTCCTCTTTGCTGGGAGCAGGGGCTTGGGGGGCGGGCTGCTTGTGTGGGCAGGACAGCACACACAGATGTGGGGCATCAGATTTATTCCTGGCTCATGGTGCAAGGATCCATCCCCTTCCCAGGTGGGGATGGTGGGACCCTGAGGGCTGGCAGACATGCAAGGGTGGCCAGGAGGTGCTGGGTGCCCCCCCTCTACCCACCCTGCCCAGCAGGAAGGGGTGACATGGGTGGCTTTCTCTTGGCCATGTCCCAGTGTCCCCACCATGTCCCCAGCTCCTGGGGTCCCTGGCTCCTGTGCCTTCCCAGTGCAGGAAGGGGCAGGGGGTACCCCTCACAACCAGCCGTTTGCACTGAAGGCGCCCCTCAGCTCCTCAACCTGAGGGGGGCTCAGCGGAGCCAGGGGTGCACGGCAGGGACCCCCATAGTAGCCAAACCACTCCATGGCCTTCTTCAGCCCTGGGATCCCAAACCGGCGGGTGACCTGCAGGAGGGAGGGTGCAGGGGCTGGCTGGTGCTTGTGGGACAGGGCAATGTGCTCATAGGTCCTGCTCCTGCTGACCCTGCTCCTTGCTCGCCATCACTCCTGCCCTCCCCATGGGGGTCTGCATCCCTGTGGCACGGGCAGGCTCTCTGCAGCAGGCATGGGCCACACTGTAGTGGAGTGGGGGACCTGGGGAGGAGTAGCTCTTCCCATCATTGTCTATAAATAACCAACAGGGCTCCCACAGGAGTCAGGTAGGTGCCTGCTGCCAGTGGGCATGCTATTCCTGTCACGACATGGCTGGCATTTCCCACTGCACCACATCCAGCCTGGCTTGCCATGCCAACTGGGTGCTGTCCCCCCGGACCCCCCCAACCCCAGGGACCTCCATCCTGTTCCGCCCCCAGGCTATGCCATGTCCTGGCACTCCTCAGCATCCCGACTGCTCACCGCCGTGTTGGGCTCGATGAGCCGGTGCTGCAGCTCACGGGCCTCCTGCCAGCGGCCCTTGCGGCACAGGTGGTCAAGCTGGCACAGTGGGGACCCCAGGACATTGGCGAGGGCGCAGACCCCCCCAGAGGCACCTGGGGACACCAGGATACATCGGCAGCCAGCCAGCACTGACCTGCCGTAGCTGCCCACAGCCTGCCCCCTCCTCCCTGCCCACCTGCCATACCCCACCAGTGCCCCCGTTGCAGCCCCCTGCACCCCGCACTGGGCAGGGGCAGCAGCACCTACCCAGGGCATAGCTGGCCAGCAGGAAGCTGGCCGATCCTGCCAGCACCTGGAAATCCTCCTGCCGTGTCTTGTGGACCATCAGCCCGATGCGAGTGATCTGGGGAGAGACACGCTGTGCCCTGGACCAGCATCACCCTAACCCCTCACTGCAGGGCTCCTGCTGGCACCCTCAGCTCCCCATTCCCAGTTTGGTGGCAGCCAGCCCCGGGACAGCCCTGCCGCACTCACATCCCCACCGCTGTCCTTGATGCCAAGAATGTTGGGGTGCTGAGCCAGGGTGATCACAGCCTCCAGGGGTAGGTCCAGGCCAGTGTTGGCAGGGACACTGTAGAGCACCACGGGGATGGGGGATGTGTCGGCAACCTGCAGGCAGCCAGGCCATGCTCAGCAGCTGGGGTGGGCTGGAGATGTGCAGGATGTGCTCCCAGTACTGCTGCTCCAGCTCATGCTGCTGGCAGGCCCTGGCTCACCTCCGTGTAGTGCTGGACCAGGGCAGCACTGGTCATGGCTCCCCGGTAGTAGCAGGGTGTCACGACCAGTGCCACATCAGCCCCTGCCTCTGCCATGCTGAGGGTCCGCTGGACGGTGGCCTGGGTGGCTGGGGAGGAGGCAGAGGGGTCAGGGCTGCCCTGGGAGGCACACACAGCCCCGCACAGCCCACAGCAGCACTCACATTCACAGCCTGAGCCGGCCAGCAGCAGGCGGTCCCTGGGCAGAGCCCGGCGCACGCAGCTCACCACCTCCAGCTGCTCCTGCGGTGCCAGGTAGGGGTACTCCCCGTTGGAGCCCAGCACCACCAGCCCTGAGACACGGGTATAGGGAGGGCAGAGCGAGCTGTGTGTGCACTCTGTTGAACACACTGACTGCCTGCCCCCATCCCTGCCTCCATCCCCAGCGACTGCCACACACAGCACTGCCAGCAAGACATTTATTGGTGCCCACAGCCACGCTGTGCTGCTCTGTTCCCGGTTGTGGCACACAGACCCCTTCCTTGGGACCCTGCCAGCGCCATGGACACATGAAGGCTTCAAGGGAGCTGGGAATGCCCGGTGCTCCTATCACCCTCCCTCCCCTCCTCACTGCTGAGCACCCAGGCACGGCTCTGCAGCCCACAGTGTGCCCTCTCCTGTCTCCGTTCCCACAGCACCGGGCTCACAACCTGATCAGAAGAAGGGAGAACCCCGGGGCACATGCCTGTGACTCCCAGACTGTTCCTGCTCATCCACCCATCCTGAGCAATCAACAGATAGGCATCCCATGGCACAGAATCAGCGTGGGTGTGCGCAGGTGTGCAAGCACACCTATGGGGCAGAGGGTAGGTGCAAGCCTACAGCTACGTGTGGAGGGTGTGTGCAAGCCTGCACGTATGGAGCGTCCATGCAAGCACGCACTGGTGTTGTGCAAGGACACACGCGTGTGCCTGGGCATGTGCCATACAAAGGACCCTAGGTGGGTACCCGAGGGGCTGCCAGCTCCAGAACAAAGTCCAGCTGGAGGCTGAGCATCCTCTGGAAGCTGGCGGGCTGCCTGCACGCTGCCATACAGCCCCTGCCACAGGAGTCTGCACAGAGAGGGGCAGCGCTTACCTCGGAAGGGGATGCTGGCGTAGCGGCGGAGGTTCCCCTCCAGCCGGGCATAGTCCACCTCCTGCATGGGTGAGAAAGGGGTGGCGAGGGGCGGGAAGATGCCGCCAAGGTCCAGTGTGCGTCCCGGTCCCTGCGGGGTGCTGAGCTCCCGGCGCTGCCCCGGGGCTGCCCAGCGTGGGGCTGCCAGCACAGGACGGAGGAGGGGAGAGGCGAGGCGGGTGCTGAGCGCCATGGTGGCCGGTGCTGCTGCCGGCCCTGCGGAGGGGCGGTTAATGTTTGACGGGGCACGTGAGGGACCTGTGACCCCGATGGGCAGATGACACGGGGGTGGTACAGGGTGAGCTCAAGATGCTCTCACCCGCTCCAGGGGCTGGCCGCAGGAGCTCAGCACCCTGCTGGGTGAGCCCTGCCTACCACAGCTCTGCTTCCCCTTCTGCTTGCCAGCCCTGGCAGCCATCCCGCTGCAACCTATGGGGCTGGGCTGCAGGGCAGGGGGGGATCAGACATTGCAGGAGTTCAGGGGCTGTGGACAGGGTTTCCCTGCCCTGGGTGTTGGTGTGGGGCCTCCTGTAAATGGGAGAGCAGGAGTGTTTCTACATCGGGAGCTATGAGCACTGCACTTGGCAGGAGTGACCCAGCCTGCAAAGGGGCCACTGTGTCCACCTGGGGTTGGTGCCAGCAGGGAAGGCAGGAGATCAGGCAGCCATCCAGCCCCATGGAGTGGCTGCCCAGCAGGGATATGACTGCTGCTCTCTGTTGCAATGCCAGCCTCCAGCACAGTGTAAACCCATCCTGTCCTTCCCAGGATGTAGCTATCCTCGCTGAGCTTGCCCAGGTGAGACTTTGAGCCGCTGTGAGCAGGCAGAGCTTCCTGCAGCAAGGAGTCCCACCATTGAACCAGTTGTGTCCTGGCCCCATGTTGTCCTTGTGCTAGGAGACAGGGCACTTACACGCTGCTGGATAAGCAGCTCCCCAGTAACCCAGCTTCCCCAGTCGCATGGAGACAAATGCTGCTCTTTGCTGGCTTTTATTGACACGGACAAGTCTTGGCTGGATCCTTCTCCTTGGAGCCCAGCCCGTTCCTGGTGCCATCACGCAGGAACCTCCATCCCATCCTGCGGCTGCTCCTTGGTCTCCAGTGCCTGGCGTGTGTCCACCTGCCACTGCTGCACCAGGTCCGTTGGGGTCTTGCCAGCCTGCAGAGCGGGCAGAGAGACACTGGAGCCAGGGTGGTGTGATGTGGTGGGGCAGCAAACAGCCCCAGTGCTGGTTCCCTGCTCACCTGGTTCTTGGCCATCATGTCAGCCCCGTGCAGGAGCAGCGTTTTGATGATCTTATAGCGGCTGAGCCGTGTGGCATCGTGCAGCGCCGTGTCGCCTTCCTGAGAGAGATGTAGCCTGGCTGGGGATTGTGGTCCAGCACCATGGACACCCCACCTGGTCCCAGCCCAAGCACACCCATCTCCCCATGAGGGCAGGGTGGAGGATGCTGCCAGCCCTGGCTGCGGCTGCCAGCACCCCAGGGTGTGTGTCCAGACGTGCCCCACTGGTGCTGGCAGCTCCTGGAGGGGTCAGCCAAGGGAGGAGGGATCAGTGTTGCCCCCTTAGTGCTGGCTGCATGGCTGCAGCACTCACCCTGTCTGGGGAATTGATGTCCACACCGCAGTGGATGAGGTGCTCCACGATGTCAAGGTGCCCGGTTCGGGTGGCCACGTGGAGGGGGGTGCTGAGCAGCTTGAGAGGGGACACCAGAGAGGATGAGCACCCACCCCTGCTAACCCAACACCTCATTCCCCAGAGCATGCCCATGCCCCAGCACAGCCCTGCTCACCTTGTCCTTCACGTTGAGGTCTGCCCCGCTGTCCTGCAGCAGCTTCACAGCGTCCAGGTGCCCACCCCGGCAGGCCCAGTGCACAGCGGTGCTGTCCAGCTGGGTGCACAGAGCCATGGTGAGGGGTACCCCCACCCTGTGCCCGTGCCCCCCACCCAGCCGGTCCCTGTGTCAGGGCTGACCCCTGTGAGACCCCTGCCCACCACCACCTCGGGACGGAGGACCCCATCCCTGCCGTTTCTCTGGCTGTGCCAAGTCTGGAGGCTTAAACCATCTCAGAGCCAGGGGCAGGATTGGTGCCTGCTGCCAGTGGATATGCTATTCCTGTCATGGGGAAGGGAAGCCCTGCCCCTCACCCGGTCCCTGAAGTCAACAGTGGCCCCGCTGTCCAGCAGCTTCTGCAGGATGTCCGTGTGTCCCTCCAGCGAGGAGCGGTGCAGGGCCGTGCGGTGGAACTGCGGGGACGAGGCACCGCGTTGGTGATGGATCCATCCTCCCCAGCCCACCCCAGCCGTGCCGCAAGCCCCATCCCATCCTGCCACAGGCGGGCACAGTGCAGGGTGGCCGGTGGCCATAGGGAGCACTACCTCGTCACACGTGTTGGGGGAGCCACCGTCTGCCAGGAACTTGTCGATGATGTGCATCTTGCCCTGGACGGCGGCTCGCAGGAAGGTCTCTGGCTCCACGGGACCCTCCTGGCAATGGGACAGGCTCAGGGCTGGGGCACCGTGCTGGTGACACCACGGGGGAGGTGCCCATGTGGCAGGGTGACCCGGGGGTGGCCCATGGGCGCTCCAGCCCCGCTCCCATCCCCTGGGACCCCCTGACCTACGATCTCCAAGGACTCCGGCGGCGGGGGGGGCTCGGGGGTGGCCGCCCGCTCCTCCCGGCGCTGCCGGCGCTGCTTGCGGAGCTCGATGAGGCGCTGGATGCTCCCCACATCAATGATCTCCCTCCGCAGGTCCACTGAGCTCTTCCGCACCCGCTCCTGGCCCTGCGGGGGACCCACAGTGCCCAGTTTGCCTTCACTGTGTCCAGGCATCCAACCCCCACAAACCCTGCCCCCCTCACCTTGATGGCCTCAAGGCCCCGGTTCCTGGGGCCGTGGTGTTTCTCCTCCTCCAGCTCAGGTGTGTTCATCCTCTCCACGGCTGGTGGCTCCCACGCACCATCGCGTTTGTGTCGCTGCACGGGCATGGAGGTGCTGCTGCATGGTCCTGGCTGGGCACGGGGCAGCCCCACCACCTCTGTCCTCAGCCCACCCGTGGAAGTGGCTCTGGGCACAGCTACTGCTTCCTACTGAGGTCTAGAGGATGCCCAGCACCCATGGGCTTGTGCTACTTGGCAAGCTGGGCACCTCCTTGGTTCTCAGCTCTGCGCCACAGGCAAGAGCTCCCGGGATGGGAACCTGATGCCCCTGAGAGCCCTTGGCCACTTTGCTGCACCCCACAGGATGGCAGGGTCAGTGCCAGCCTCCTCACCTCTGAGTCCCTAAGGATGGACACAGCACAAAGTGGGTCTCTGCCGCAGCCCAGCCAGGTCCCCCTGCCCTATGGACCCACCTTCTCCTTCTCCTCTTCCTCCTCCTCTGCCAGCTTCTGCTCGATGAGCTCCTTGGCCCGTTGCACTTCCAGCTCCATGTCTGCCAGCAGTGCACAGCCCTGTGTGGGATGCAGCCTCTGCTCCTCACCCGCACAGGCAGAGAGCCCCCAGACCCGGTTCCCAGCAGCTCCGCTGGCCACGACGCTTTATGCCTCCGGCCCCTCCGTTCCGTGGCCCAAGATCACCGACAGCTGTGGCTGCTCCACATGACTGGGGCAGCTTTGCCATGAGCTCACCCTCCTGCTTTCTGGTGGCCCTGGCTCACCTCCCCAGCCCTGAACCCTCTTAAAGAGACCCAGTGCACCCCCATCCCACTGCCAGGGACCCCTGTGGTGGGTGCAGGGAGCTGGGATGCACACAGCCCAAAGCAGGCAGTTCAGATACCCGGTGGAGCAGGGACACAGTATGGGGTTGCCCCATGGGTCCTCTGTCTGAGCAGCCAGGATGCTCCCCATGGCTCCCATCACCACACAGCCTGATGCTGCAGCACCCACCTGCATCACCTGAGGCTCCCCAGCATCTGGGCAAGGGGGTGCTGCCCACCCCAGAGGGAGGCAAAGGGGCCCCCTCAAACACCCCAGCCAGCAGACAGCACATGTGCCAGGAGCCACAGCCCCTCCGCTGTGCTGCTTTGGAGGATGACCTCAGGTGTGGAACGTTCCAAGCAGCCCTGCCAGGGTCCTGGTGCTTGCCCAGCCTCCCTCGCCACACAAGGGCAGCCTGGCAGCAGGACCAGCCTCACGTGGGGCCCGCAGGCAGAGCCCGCAGCTATTCCCGGCAGTGAGGACATTGTTCAGCCCCCATGGGCTTTGCTCTCCTCCTTTGTAAGATGAGGCCTGTGCTGCCTTGTGCAGGAACAGTTAATGCGCTGGGCACAGCCCCCAGCACAAGACCTGCGGGAATGACAAATGGGGACACACATCACTGTCACCCTCCTGGGCAGTTCCCAGGGCCACCCTTGGGTGCCCTGACCCATGGGTGCCACAGCCTCCAGATGCAGAAAGGCACTGTTTTCATCAGGACAGACAATGGTGGCCACAAAGGTGGTCTTGGGACCATCCCGCTTCATGGACTGGCCCCAGGGCAGACACAGGCTGACACCTGCAGAGGGGAAGCACTGTGAGAAAGGGGATGGTCCTACACCAGCAACCAGCCAGGATGCCAAAGGGATAAGGCTGGCAGTACTGGGAAAGGGCCCAGACAGGCAAAGAGCTGGGGCTGGCAGGATGGGGTAAGGGCGGCACCAGGGAGATAGCGTGCCTGGGCTCTTTGTGCCCATCCTGACATGCAAGCAGATGTAGAAGAGGCACAGGGAGCTCCCACAGCTGCAGGTGACAGCCCCCCAAACCTGCCCCAGGGGCCAGAGGAAGGATGAAAAGGCTTTATTGATAAATACAGACTATGTACAAAGGGGAGACATCTCCACACAGCCCAGCACCCCGGGGCCTCCTGGCCAGGGTGAGCTGAAGCCCAGCAGGTCACAGCCTCTCCCCGCCAGCACAGCCCAGCACAGCCCAGCAGTGGGGCCCTGGCCGTGCTGACCACCCCGGACACATTTGGTCTCAAAGCTCCTGCAACAAACACAGTGCATGCCCATACCCCCAGCCAAGAGGGACCACCATGGTGGCACAGCCCCATGGAGACCTTCCTGGGGGGGTTACCCCAGTGGGGGGCAGCCTGAACGGGGAGCAGGGGCTGACCAAGCTCTGGCAGGGCTGAGACATGGCCTGGGGCATCCCCAGTGGTGCCGCTGCTCCCAGCTCCCTGCCTTGGCCCCACAACCAGTGTGGGGTAGCTCAGTTCCTGGGTGGCAGGGGCTGGTTGACGATCACTTGCACAACAAAATCCTTCTGGATCTTGGTCTCCTGCAGCCGCGTGCGGTCAGTGAGCAGCTTGCCCGAGAAGAACCAGCGCTGCCAGGCCATGTCGATGCCCTCTTGTGCCTGCAGCTGCTTCTTCAGCTGCCCGATGGTGTCGCCCATGCTGGCGCTGAGCCGCAGGTCCTTGCCCGTCGACAGCCGCACCTTGAGGGCGAACTCCCGGCGGGCATTGGGCAGGGGCTCCGCCGGCTCCGATGCCTCCTCCTCACTCCGCTCCAGGATCAGGTTGACAGGAGGTGACAGGCAGTAGACAGGCAGCTGGTACCGGTTGCCTAGCTCATCATAGCACTCCGTCAGGGACCCTGTGGATGGCAAGGGACATGCTGTGGGTGGCCATCCCCATGGACCACCCCAGGGAGTGGGGCAGAGCTGAGCTGCATGGAGGGCTGTTAGGAACCCCTCTCCTCCCCCATGTGCCCAGATATAGGGCACTCAGCAACCACCCCCCACCCTGCTGGTGTCGTCCCTCACCATGCGGCAGGGTGATGCTGGCTCCATCAAGGATGGCCTGAGCCAGGCTGTGGTCGTTGGCCTCCACGGCGTAGGCAGCTGCCTTCAGAGCATCCCAGATCTCCTTGCGGCCCTCAAAGGCGGGTGCCGTGTCCCAGAACTCGTCCCGCTTGCTGCGCAGCTGCCCATCCGTCATGGGGTAGTCGCTTTTCCACTTGGGACACTCCTTCTTCAGGGGCTCATTGCGGCCTGGAGAGGGGAGGATACTCAGCCAAGGGATGAAGCTCCCCACTTGGGCCCCGAGCCCCCACCTCCCCATTCCTACAGGTTCCTGGGGACCCCTTGCACCATGCACAGCAGTGTCCAAGGGGGTGTGCTGCCCAGCACAGCTAGGGGGACTCAGCTAGAGCTAGCCCTAGCCCTGCCCAATGTCCCACTGACCCCATAGCAGCTGCCCCCCAAGCGACATCACTTGTCCCCAGGAGGGACAAGGGCTCTTGCCCATATGCCTGGAGGAGCAGCACCTGCCCTGTGGGGTGGCCACAAGGCCTCAGGGCCCTCTGAGGCAGAGCAGTATTTATAGCTTGGGGAATTAGCCAGGGAATAAGCTGGTGAGTCGGAACGGGAAGGGGATTACGGGGGCTGAGCTGCAGCCCTGGCAGCATGGGGAGGGCAGGACTCCGCCATCCTCTCTGACCATCCCAGGATGGCAGGGACAAGCTGAGGGCAAGAGAACAGGCACACAGTGTCCAGGGCACTGTGGGGCAGCGAGCTGCCAGCCCACAGCAATGGGTCAGACTGAGCTGGTGCCCCCAACCATGTCCCCAGTGACCTGCAGCACCTGGGACACCATCAGGTCTGGGACACCCCCATGCCAGTCCCACCGCTCCCTGCTCTCCCTACACCAGGCTGAAGCCTGGGAACAGACCCATCCCATCGGCCCCACGGCTGGGCAGGAAGCATGGGGGAGGAAGGAGCTGTTGTCACTCCCAGCTGAGCTGGGGACAATGAGTGGCAACAGCTCCTTCCTGCCACCCCTCTCCCTGGGGTAGCCAGGCAGCCTGCTGGGACAGGACACAGGGAGTGCAGAGCCCCAGCTGGGCAGGAAGGATGCTGTGCCCGCACAGTGACCTGCCAGGCAAGACAATACTGGGGACAGCCACCACTGCCAGCTGGGGCCTCAGCCACGTTCCCCAAGGAGCTTTTCTTGGGCAAGTGTGTGGTGACACAAGGCACTACATGACCTTTGTTTTGTACCACCCCATCCAAGACCACTGGAGCCAGCACAACAGCTGCTTTCCCACTGAGCCATTCTAGAGCTGGACACAACATGCAGCATCTACACCAGGGATCCGCATGGGGCATGGGAGCTCAGCTATCCCTGGGCTGGATGCTGAGCATCCCTGACAGGCAGCATCCTGCCCGCATCCTGGAGGATGGCAGGTCTCAAACAAGGTCTCAGCGAGGGCATCCGGCTGCAGCCTGCGCTGCCGATTCAGCAGTCACGGTGCCGGGCAGGAAGGATTTGCAGCACTGCAGGACAGAGCAAGGTCGGAAGCAGCACCTGCCCTGGGAGGGCAGGGGAGCAGCCACGGACAGCCTCAAGGACACACACAGCCAGGACCGCATCTCCATGCTGCTGTGGCCACTGGGCTGGTGCACGCATCCCTGCAGCCAGGACTGTTATACACAGCGGGACTCATGATCAGCACCATGTCCCTGGCTCCATCATCAGCAAAGAGGCTGGCCCAGGGCTTGGCCACAGGAGGACACAGGGACAGGTTGCAGCTGCCTCATGCAAGCAGCCGTGCCCAGGTAGGCAGGGACTTAAGCCTTGTCTATTTATTGCTGCCACCCAGTTGGGCCTTGCAGCCTCTAATCACCTCCTGTTGCTCTGCTCCTGGCCCCTTGTGCAACTCTCCACAGCAGCACCACTGGACAGGTCTGGCCACTCGCTGTGCCCGGACTCGAGCCAACAGGATCTGGCTGGCAGCCTGCCTGCCTCCTGCCTGCAGCACCCTGCCTGAGGCTCAGCCCCTCCATGGGGACCCCAAGGCAGGATGATGTGCCCTGGAACTTGCTCCCTGCCTGGATGGAGCCCCAGGGGAGAGCTGGGCAGTGTCAGCCAGCGGGTGCTGGAAGCTAGCTCAGCCCCAGAGGGAGGTATGAGCCAGATAGCACATGACAGAGCTTCCAGCAGTGCTGACTGGTCCCCTCCTGGGCAAGACAAGGCTGGGATGCTGCATGCCACAGGCATCCCCTGCTCCTCCTGCTTTGGCAAGCTGTCCATCCTGGGGACAACCAGCAGGACCCCCCTGTCTGGGGCCACAGCAAGCCCCAGCCAGGCACACAGGCTATTTCAGCAGGGCCCGTGCAGCAGCAGAGGCTCCCCACCAACAGCTGGTCCTTGCATGCTGGTTCTTGCCAGTCCTGGGCAGTGTCCCTGTACTGTGGGAGAGGGCAGCTGCATCCTTGCTTCATCCTCCACCACCCACTGACTGGCTCCTGTGGGCTGGGAGCATCATGCAAGCCAGCCTGGACACCCCGGCACCGGGGACGTTCCTGCTCCCTCAGGAAGGGGCATGCTGCAAGAAAGCTGCCAGGAGCACAGGGCAGCAGGCGGGCACCGTGATCCATCCCAGGAGAGCCTGGCAGGAAGTGAGTAGTGGTGATCGAGACACAGGCTCCTTAGCCAGCCGTCACTTGGCACAGGAGGGGAGGACACAGATCCAGATGTTGGGATCTGATATCCCCAGCCACAGCAGCCCCAAGTTACAAGGCAATGGCCCCCAACCCGAGTGAACAGTCTGCTATGGAGCCCAGGACTGACTGACACCCGCATCACTGGGGACCAGGGCGTGCTGGGATGGAGAGCTGCAGCTCCACAGGAAGCCATCAACCTGACCCGGGGCAGCAGGGCACCCCCCCGGAGCCCAGCACGGTGGGGATGGCTGCCCACGGGCAGCGGGCACAGCCAGGCCCGGCAACCACCGCACCCCGGACGTGTTAAGGGAGCTTCGGGCTCCATCCCACGG